CACACCCCCCCCCCCCCCCCCCCTCCCCCCTCCCTCTCCTCCCTCCCCATCCTCTTCCTCACCCCTCCCCATCCTCCTCCTCACCCCTCCCTCCTCACCCCTCCCTCCTCTTCCTCCTCCTCTGTCTCCCAAACCTTCTCCTCCCCCCCACTTTTTAAATTCTGTATGTTTGTTTTGAGGTGGGATCTCATGTATCCCAGGCTAGACCCAACTTACCAGTAACCAAGAATGACCTTAACAACAGGTATGTGCCATCACATTGCTTTTGTTGGGTCTGAGAAGGGACTTTTGGGCTCTATAACATGCCAGGCAGGCACCCTGCCAACTGAAACACATTCCCAGCCCACAGCCACATTTCTTTATATTTCACAGTGTTGGGCAAATTAATTCAGCTATGACACTTTCACTTTTCTGCACCACAGCAAATAGCACATCATAGAAGAGCTGGGTCCTTCCACCCTCTGTTCATGACAACGGCATCGGTGAGAAAGCACCAACTACTATGACTCTAAATTCACCCATCACGCTGTGTCAACCTCTCTTGTCACTGTTCAGTCCCCCTATGCTACTTTCCCCATATCTACCCTTGTCCTACTAAACTATGCCAAGGCCCAGCAGAAAAACACGCAGTCCATACAGCTTTCCTAACAGGTCCTAACAGCACCGCCAGGACCCCTTATATTGACTTGCAGAGCTCTGAGGTAGTGTCTACCTGTCTGAGTCCCTCCACAGCCCCCACACCTTCAGCACCATGCCTTCCTTGCACACAGTACTGCCATATGCAATCAAAATTATTCTATAGGAGAAAATGAGGGGATTTTTTTTTCTCCATATGCCTCATTTTTTTCTTTAATTTTTATTTTCCCTGATTTCAAAACATCCATATTCACTGAATAATTTCAGTTTGCTTGGTATATCCACTTTAAATCGCCTTTTTGTTTGATGACTTCCATGGAAGTATAAAGTCTGCAATGCTGTGAGCCCCTTACAACAAACAGTACAACATAGCACCTTCCCTCAGCTGGACCCCCGCCTCAGGGTGATGGAGGCAGAGGTGAGGAGCCTGCATCTGAACAGATTCTCAGATATCCTGAACCCTTAGATTCCCTGAGTATACACGGGCCCTCAAAAAGGTTAGATTTCATAGCATTTGGGATGTTGAATTGTTTTCATTAGGACTGCCTAGCTATAAAGTCACACAGACACTACCAAACCCTCATCCCAGAAAGCTCTGGTCACTGGGCCTGCACTGTGTTGTTACATAGAGGAGAGGAGAGTTAGCTGGAGCAGCTCACGGGAGCCCAGACCTCTGACATGCTGCACCTAAGTTCTCAGCAGAGTCTTTCTCAAAGCCACCAGAACTATACAGACTGGCATAGGGCTCCAGTCCCACCAAGGGGAGGAGGACCTGGGGCTGACTTGACAACATGTGATAACCCTTCTCCTTGTGCAAATGAGAATTAACGAGTGGAGAAATCACTCAACAAATGGCTACATAATACAATAGGGAAATAGGGCAGTCCCAGACAAGTCCAAAGCAATCTGATCTGACACTCCATAAGCAGATGGGACTGACTCAATATTAGCCCCAAATTAATATAAAAATTAGTACCAACCAGTTTCAGCCCTTCCTCTGATCCCACAAATGTGCCGTGCTCAGTCTGAATGTGACTGCACGTGAGTCTTTCCTGTCCCAAATACTTCTTAATGGCTTACTGCAGTGGGCTCTGCTAATCTGCAAGTTGAAGGGACTTATCCAGGAGGTCGATTCAGTTACCTGTTGAATGAGTGAGCGAGCCTCTTCAGAAACACAGTCTGGCATGTTCAAAGTAGTGTGGGTGTTTATTCCTGCTGGGTGGCACTCCACCAGTGTCTGCAACAGTCAATCAGTTACATTTCTTATCCCAGTCACATCACACCCTATTCAATCCTGGGGCAGACGGCAGCAACTACAGAGAGCTGCCACGGCCTAAACTGGAGGCACAGACATCAGCACAGCCTCATCCAGGCAGATTAGGCTATGGGCCTAGAGGGCATCAGCAAAGCAGCTGACAGCCGCCATGCTCACACCACAGGCCTGTGCAAGCAACCCTTCTCCTTTGTTACTGAGGGACTGGGTTATAACAGAAAAGCTTAAATAATGCACAAACTCCAAAGAGTGGGCCGACAGCTTTGAAATAACTAATGTTCTTAAAAATCTCTCTGGTGTAGAGTTTGTTAGTCAGTGCTTCAACTTGCGTATGGCTACATTTTACAGTTTAACTGCAACATCAGCCACTGAGTGCTTCACAGTGATCTTACATCGCCAATTCACACACTTAACAAAAGTGGGACGATCCTTCTCCTCCAGATTCTTCCCAGGAGGCGACGGGCACAAAACTCAGTTAAGGTCTCTTGACCTCAAGCATCATGCTTAAAAGTTTCTAATCAGAGAGAGTACACTCTCTGTCCCCGTATAGAACAGGCAGACAGGGAAAATGTACCGTATAGGAGAAAAGATGTTACCTTGAATATCAACAGCAATTTAAAAAAAATTAATCCCCTTGACTTCAGACAAGAACCTGAAAGAACTGGAGGGTTCCAGCACACGCCTGTCACGACCCCCACAGATGTGATTCCGTGTCGCAGGGAGGGCAAGGGGAAGCCGAGTCTCTTCCCAGGTAGCTGTGGCACGGCAGAGGGTTGCCATCAACTTATTCAGTGCTGCATGATTTTTAAAAAATCCGAATCTTAATCAATTCCTCTGCCTGTCCTGACACTGAAGTTTCCCTCAGCCCTGATCTGACGACTACAGGAAGGCTAGCAGGCGTGACTTGGAGTCAGGGTGGCATCTGGATGCATGCACTAGGTGTCGAGGTCACTGCGTACCTTGCCAGTGAGAAGTTCGAAGAGGACAGCACCCAGGCTCCACCAATCACAAGCTTCAGTTTCTTCTGTGACTGCTCCAACCTCTAAACACACCAAAAAAGGTTGATATTAAAATTCCAGAGGTCAATTAAACTTTCGAAATTAACATGTATTAGCAAGGTGACCTTGTTAATGCTGAGAGAGCAAATACTAAACACTCCTGGGCTTTGAAACCCCTGAAAGTCGCTTTTCTCTTTGGTCACCTACTGGGGTTGCATTTTTTCCCCGACACAGTCATACATTAAATGGAGACATTTGTTCTTCAGTTGACGGAGGACACCTTCAAGATGCTGTACTTGAGTTTTACGAACCAACCAGATCAGCACTCTTTCACATTCAAGGGAGCTCGGCTGATTTCTGCTTTCAAACCATCTTTTGTTTTAGCAATAAAGGCTCCTTGTAACCAGAAGGCCCTTCCAAATATACCTATGCCTATATTAATTACCATTAGAAGCCAGGTGGCACACACCATCCAATGTCACATAAGAAGAGCAGGATAAGGCTACCCTCTCCTGTCATCTCTGTTTCTTTCACTGAAGAGGGAGCCTGTGAAACGCAAACCCACCCATTCTGAAATGCAGAAGAAATACTGTTTAAAACCACGAGCAGAAATGCTAGGGGTTTGGGAGAGCCAGAAACTACACTTCTACCTGTTCATCCTGGAGGAACTCTGAAGCACCATCCTTTAGGCTGCTCCATACGAGCACCAACTAAAAGGCTGTAGCCACTAAATCCCGCTTGAGACCTTGTTCCTTCATAGTGATGGCCGGTTAGTCCAGAGACCTTGCCAGTATCTGCCCTCTGACACCATTCCAACAAAAGCAGCTCACTACTGTTTGGCTGCAGGGAGCCTACAACTCGAGACAGAATATTCAGGAGCTTCTAGAAGGTTAGTGACAACCTGAAAGGCAAGTGAAGCAGGCATAGGGGCTCTGGCTTCAGCCAACACCCTGCAGAGCACCCAGCTTCACCCCTGAAGCAAGGGGTGAGGGCAGCGATGCACCCTCCAGCAAAGCACCAGATACGGACTGACTTCAGCAGCCTTGGGCGCCTCTTTGGGACTCCAAACAAACAGCCTTAGCATAAGTCAACCCCCACCACAGTCCCTTCCAGCCTACAGTGCTCCATACAGAATCACAACCTCCGTTCCCTTATGGCCTGACCTCAGCTCCTGCCAACTACTGTCCTCGTAGCCTGAACGACCAGGATCCGTCTGGCACTGTGTGTAAACTGTGAAGCACATGCACACCACAGAGCCCTGTTGAATGACATCTTTACATGGAACCGAAGTACAAACGCACACTGTTTTCAAACAACAGAATTCTGATTAAAGAGCATGGGGTGAGAGAGTTGGCAAATGCTTTAGTGGCCCGCCTCTGGGATGGTGACACTTTTTAATATTCATCAACCTGCACAAACATCTCAGTGATACAAACCTCAAGGGCAGAGTGAGATGATGAGAAAACAGGTTTGCAGGACAGTACTTGGCATAGGGAGGGACCATGTGCAATCCTTCCACAGTTTCTACAAACTTAACGCTCCCTGTTAGAAGGCTGGACCAGACACTGAAGGCCTGGCATGAGTCTCGGATCTCCTCTGCATCAGGTGAGTTTGATCTGGGGGTCAGTGGGTTAAATTTTGTTCTAAGCTCCACAACTCACACCTTATTCAGCAGCCCTCAGGAGACACAGGACTTGGGGGCTCTGTTTCAGAGCTGTACCACCCCCACCTCCACACACAGAGCCACTGCTACCTTCAGAAAAATGCTCTTAGAAATGTTAGCCAGGGTGTGTGTTCCCAGAAGCCTTAGAAAAATAGAGGAAATGGTCACAGGCCTGCAATCAAATATCATCGCCCTTTGCATGTTTCCTTCCAGTCTACACAACGGCTTACACCATTTCTCTGTTCAGAATCCTTGCATGGCATCTCACTGGCCATTCAGTAACATCTAAGTGTCTTGCTCAGGCACACTGATGTAATCAGACTTCTGTGTAGGGTCTCAGTCTATCTCATCAACCAGTATGGACATAGAAGCAGCGTAAGTTAGGCTCTATATTGGCCCAAATGCTCAAGACTCTGACACACTGGTAAATAATGTGACTTTAAAACAGGTCCCCCTGCCAGCACCCATAGGGAATGTATGTTTGTCCTCTGTTCCATTTCTTTAAGCATAGAGTTGGAGGGCCGAGCATTGGTGGCACATCCCTGTAATCCCAGCACTTGGGAGGCAGAGGCAGGTGGATCTCTGTGAGTTCAAGACCAACCTGGTCTACAAGAGTGAGTTCCAGGACAGCCTCCAAAGCCACAGAGAAACCCTGTCTTGAAAAAAAAAAACAAAAACAAAACAAACAAACAAAAAAAGCATAGAGTTGGTAGCCATGTGTTACTTAGTTTAATTAAGGTTTTTACCTGTTCAGAACTCAAGGCCAAAGGGACAGTTCAGCCACCCATTTAGAATGTGCTAGCAATACTCTGCACTTCCCATGCAGGGACGCTGTTATACTGGGCTAGTGTCACAGTAATGGCACAGCAGTCACACAATAGCCCACATTACTAGGCTAATGTGTGTGTGTGTGTGTGTGTGTGTGTGTGTGTACATATATGTATGTATGTATGTATGTATGTGTGTTAAATAATTCATAATATATATATATGCATACACACACATATATGGAATACCTATGAAGACAGAGACATCATCTTTTCTGTGAGCAGCAGCAGGATGCTGACCCAGCCAGCTCAGAGAATGTGGAAGTCAGAAAATGCCTTTTAGGATCGCACAACCTGTCTGAGGAGTTCCAGACTGGAGCCATGCCCATCTCTACTTGCAGGCTTACTGAGGTGGGCCTGCACCATTAGTGTAACACACTCCACAAGGCCACAGTCCAAGACGTCCCTGGGTGGGAATTCCCAGGTCCTGCACAGACAGACCTGGCATATCCTCTCTGTGCTGTGGGCTTGGCCAGCTAGTCCTCCAAGAGCGAGGTTCACCAGCTTTAATGCCCTCAAATCCCTGGCCACACCAACCAGGGGTTTGACAGGCTGTGTATGGTGAGTGGCCGTGGTCCTGTGGATGTGACCCAACACAGCAGCCGCAAAGCCGATCCCCTGCCACCTCTGTGGGTCAGCAGCTTGTCCACCACGCACAAGGCACAGGCACAGTGGTGACATTCTTGAACTGTGCCCTGGCGCCTGACACTGTCATTCCTCGTCTCTTCTTCCATCCTTCCCTGATCGTCACGTCTGTCACGGGTGCATCTCTTCCTTTCCCTCTGACTCAACTAGCTCCAGACTCTAAAGGTACGAGGGCCCCCTGCCAGTTTTAGTGCTATGACAAAATATCTCAGGTCACTCAGGGGAGGAGCAACTTGCCCTGGCTCATGGTTTGTAGTCTCCCGTCTAGGCTGGCAAGCTGCCTTGCTTATGGCTTCAAAATGAAGCAAACCCTCATGGAGACCGGGGAGCAGAGACAGAGAGGCTGAGGACAAGACACACTTTGCCATCACATGCTTTAACCTTCCAAATAATATCACGTCAGCCCTCCGAGAGTGGGTCACTCACTGACAAGATTAGCACCATGGAGCCCAGCCACTTCCCCACAGCCCAGGAGCCAGCAACCACACCTTTGGCGCACAGCCCCTGAAAACGTTTCAGAAAGACTGCCGGCCACTGGAGAACCTGTGTACAACAATATAAAGGCCACCACAATATAAAGGCCACCGCACTGTGTGGGCTTTTTAACCTGAGTGGCTGGCGCATGAGGACAACTGTAAAGTGATGCGATTTTTCCCATAGGGAGAAAATCAAGTTTTAGATCCATCAATGTAGCTCGAGAGACTCTGAAATGACTTCGTAGTATCAAGCAGGGGCTGATTAATGTGAAGCTGACATCACGAGCTACTGCGCCTGGTTTCCTAGGTGACTCTAATCTACAACAAAGAGTTCTGCATGTAGGTAAGATACAAAGAAGAACTTTCTGGCGGCTGGAGGCTGAAATGTTAGAACAAGTGAACTAAGTTCTCACTGAACTTCTGTTTCACAGGCTTTAAACAAAGTCTCTCTCCTAATCATCAGAATGAATGATGTTGGTTGCCTTTCTAATACCCTTGAAAGACAATTATTCCTAGATTAAAATTTTTAATATATAATACGAAATTACATTGCTAAAAAGAAAGTGGGGTTTTTGTGGTTATCAAACCACAAAACTCACACTGCTCTAAAACTGCTTTACTTGCCAGGCATTGGTGGTGCACACCTTTAATCCCAGCACTCGGGAGGCAGAGGCAGGTGGGATCTCTGTGAGTTCGAGGCCAGCCTGGTCTCCAGAGCCAGTGCCAGGATAGGCTCCAAAGCTACACACAGAAACCCTGTCTCGAAAAACAAACAAACAAACAAACAAAAAAAAACTGCTTTACTTGCAAAATCTTAAAAACATTGAAGCTCCAGCACAAAGTGAGGGCAGTGGTTCAAACAGACAGCTGTGAGACAGCTAATACATTCACTACTGTACAGACTGCAGGCCAGTGTGGCTCGGCAGGTAAGAGTGGCACGAGCCTGGTACTCATGTTCCTAAAGAGGGAGCTGGATGTGGTGGCTGACATTCATAATCCCAGCTCTCCCATCATGAGATGGGAGATGGACATACCAGCCAGAGGCTCACATGGACAGCAGCACTGGATTCGAGACCCTACACACTCCCAGCTCCAACACAGGATTCACTAAGATTTTAATGTAGAGACTGTAAAGAATACCACATAAAGCAGTGTAACAGGAAAGCTGGGAAGCCTTTTAGACTAACTCCATCTTGAAAGTTCTTTGGAGCATGTTAGAGGACATTCTGCCAATTTCAAAGTGGTTTTCTTATGGTCCCCAAGGTGTTAACTTCCTGTATGCCCCAGCACCGCTCCACCCTGGCTTGCAACTCCTAGGCTGGGTGATGTCCTTGTTCACCATAAGTACAGTGGCCTCACAGGCACAGAGCAAAATGACCAGTGAAAACCCCACCCTCCCCCCAAAAATCCTTAGGTTCTCCTCTCAAAAACAC